AACAGACCATTACGCACCACTGAGTGCTGGGAGGAGAGAGAGACTGAGCTGGAGCAGTCAGGGCTCACACTGAGGGTTATCTTTGAATAGCAGAAATGAAATGGTACCCACAGACCATTGACATCCCCATTCCCCTGTCTGATAAAGATTTTACCATTGTGTACCCCTTCTGCTCCAGGTCCAATATGCCCTAGAATGAATGCAGAGCCAAGGACTGTTCCTTATCTTGTATCTGCTTTTCCTTAATAATTTCCTTAATGCTTTTCCTTGTTGTAATGTTTTTTTCCCAGTCTAATTTAAAGACTGTGATGCAGGGCTCCAATCATTCTGCTTTGGGAAGAATTACTGGCCTGACTGCGTCTCAGAGCAAGGAGAATTCTCTGCTATACTTCCTCCCTGTGTATGTACTGGAGGCTTACTTTGCTCCTCTAGCTATCACCCTGAGACTGGTCTGTGCTTTCACCCTCTGCTTTAGCTTTTCCTTTTTATTGTTTCCCCTTTTCCAGGGCCTTCTGAAAAAAAAAAATGTTCTGCTGGAACTTGCTAATGTAGCTTCTAGTTTGGAGGTAAACTCTGTCTCTGCACAAGAAATAATATATTTTTGTCTATTTTCCAGAATATTTTTGTGACATGTTAACATTACAATGCATGTCTTTTCGATGCCAGAATCTCAAGTATAGTTTGAGCGTGAAATTGCTACATCAAAGCAAAATGAAGCTTCTTTAGTTTTAAGTAACAGACACTGTGACCCGACGACCTTTCAGCAAGATGTGATTGTTCTTCATTTGTGATAGAGAAACTGCTATAAAATTGAAGCAATAACACTGCAGGAGGGGAGATGCCATGATCTAAAGCCTAACAGCACATTTACAGCTTAATCAATAGTGTAGAAGGAAAAGACTTATTTTTCAGTGGCTTTGTACTTTGCCTTCTGTGGGTGTCTACTGGAAGATGAAACCTTTTGTGGTCACTTTTGGAGAAGCAATTCAGCTGCTTTTGAGAAAGCAAAGAGTCCTTCTGCTGCAATTCATTCCCCAGTTTTACCCACACCAGAGGCTAGTCTCACAGCATGAGGATCACAGACTTAGGGATCAGAATTACCAAACCCACATTGCTTTTAAATAGGCTTTTCACAGACTACCATTTATGGTATTCCCTACAGCTATACCTTATTACCTATAGGTATACCTTATTCCCCAGGCATTAAGGATGGGGATTTCACATAAAACAACAGAGAGAAAATGAGAATGAGTTTCTGAGTGTGTCACCTTTTTTTACAGTCCTGTGCTGTTGTGTCAACACAATAGGCCCATACAAGTGGTCCAACAGAAATGTACTATTTCAGCATACAAAAGGAGATTTTTGTGTGTGTAGAAAATCTGTTTGGCTCATTTAATAGATTTAATTATTACTTAACTCAATGTTAATCCAAGATGCATGCTTTTAAAGGAGCAAAAGCATCATTCTCCACAAAAGAACTTGGTAGAAGAATAAGTGAAATGTGTATATGGGAGAGAGGATTGGACAGAGGAGTAAAATGGAGGAAAAGTGTTATTCCAGTCTAGGCTTGAAAGGAAAGAATATTCAGACAGGATTTCTGCTTTCAAAAGGTAAAGGGACCTGATAATCTGGGGAGCCACTAGTAGGACAGGTTAGTTCCATCTGTGGTTCGGGTTGGGGTGCAGACACATACGGTTACAGGCAGAGGAATCTCCAGCAGTGCAATAATGATGTAGGCTGTCAGTGTGATCTCGTCGTTCACTCCACCCTGCAGGGAACCATGAAAGTAGATGTTGATCCCGCACAGCACCACTGGCTTCTCCCTGTCCTGCAGGGACAAATTCTTCCCAGCCTCCTTCTAAGTCCTTCAGAAGCTGCTATTTGCTGCTTCTTCCTGGTTCTGTGGTACCTCACATATTTAACTCCTTCCCAATCCCCAAGTGCTGAAATAGCTCTGTTGGTCCCAGAGTGACTTATGGACAAGTTCCAGCCTGATAAAACCCATGCGGAGCCAACCAGGCAGACATGTTACCTTCATGGCATTGTTCAGGAGTGTCCCAGCACTGCGGAAACAGCCATTCTCCTTCTGCTTTTGAGTGAGCCAGACCAGAGCATCCTGGATGTGCTTCTCGTCTATAAAGATGTGAGGCCGGGCCTGGGCAAAGGACTTGAGGACAAAGGCTGTGAGCCTGAAAGTGACAGAGGGAACTGAGACATCCTGAGCAGGCCCTGTATCTATTGTAGGTCATAGAGCCCATGTGGGCATCACTGTTCTGGTGGAAAGCAGTAGAGGTGACAGGAGTTGATCACATTAGGCTGGTTGGAAACTGATCTAGATTAGTGACTCAGTGACATAGGGACCAATGCTAAATAGGCCCTGCCATTCACAGCCCTCAGAGCTGACAGTAGGTGGGCAATGGCATTCTGAGGATCCATCAGCATCTTCTGCTAATGAGAACTAACTAGGGCATTCTGCAGGTCATCTTCACTTGATCTGAAGAAAGGCATCGGGGGAGGTAAGTAGCCACCAGTGCAGCATTGCAAACCTGAAAGGTATCCCTCTTAGCATCCTTCCCTGCTCCATTATCCCACATGATTATCTTATGTTGTGATTATCATTTCATCTCCACCTCCATTTCAACCTCTACAGTGCAGAAGAGAACACTGGGGAAAGAGAAGGCAAGAAAAGCAGAAATGAAAAGCCAGCGGTACTGAAGTCTTACCAGGTATTGCCAACTTGCCCATAACGGGGCCCAAAGGTGCTATAAGAACCATCCCAGTGTTTGTAGTTCAATTGCCTTTGGTACCCTGAATTGGAGAGTGGAAGAATATTTTAACTGTTACAGTACTTTTCAAGGAGCCATACAAAGGAAATGTAGCATACATGGGTGATAGTGTCCCCCTTCTTATGGCACAAGTGTGAGCTATGCTGCTTAGTGTTACAATGGAGTTTCAGGCAAAGCCACAGCTCAAAGTACTTCCATCCTTGTGCTCTTCCTCTCTGCTAAAACACCTGGAAACTGGGTATCTGCAGTTATTGCCACTCTCTGCCCTAGACTTGATGGAGAGAGGTAAATATATCCCAGACTTGAGAAAAATGGGAAAATGGTTCCCAGAGGAGAACTGAATACAGAGGTGTGCCCCAGATAGGATGGGGATGCAGAAAATGGGATAATTTTAATTGGAGGAAGTGCCATTTTTCTGCAAAATAACTGAGTAAAACCAGTCCCTTATCAGTCAGCAAATACTCGCCGTGTCCATACGTGCCTTTGTTACATCTGCCAACACATCCTAGCTAGTGCGTTAAAATTCTGTCTTAGTTGAAGGTGAGTGACACTTTCTAAATCTTAATCCGAAGGAGGGTCAGAGATCTACCTAAGCAGCTGCCACGATTGATGGTTTCAGCCTGATTTGTGTATTTCATATATCCCTTTTCTTAGGAAGAGAACTCTGAGTTATTGCCTGTCCTGGACTTTACCTATGTTCCTCTTCGGATGCTGTCCTCTCTCTCCTGCACCTCCACCTGAGTGCAGGATTCTCTCTCTTATAGCTCTTGTATTATAAACAACTACCACATATTTCCTTCCAGAGAATGCACCAGGACAACCTCTCCCAGATCAGACATGCCAGTGGCCAATAGTGTCCTTATCCAGTTGCCAAGGGAAGGAATGAATAGAGAAGCAAAAGCCATGTCCCAGCTCACCGCTCACTAAGTATCCGATGGCCTTGGACTTGACCTCCTCACTCAGCTGCCCTGTCTTGTTCAGATAGTCCAGGACATAGATGTTGGGTGCAAACAGGACCATGTTCTGCTCCCCGCAGCCGAAGGGCATCTGGAGGAGCTGGTGCAGGTTCTGCATGGCAGTGCCCATGATGTCACCTGGGGAATGGCACAATTTCCAGTGTAAATTAGCACAGTTCAGGGCTTGCCAGTAGACTGAGAACAGCCTGAAGTAACATGGCAGTGTTTCAAAATAGCATGTGACATTTTAAGAATGTTTCACTTACCTAGCACTGAGAAATGTGCTCTGGCTGAGCCATCCACCACAGTCTCTGGGAGAACTAGGGAGACTGATGTTGACTTTTCTGGGATAAAAAACCAAATCGATTTGGTTACAATTCCAGATACATCTACATGCATGAGTAGCAGCTAAGGGGGTGAAACACCATCCCCTGCACAGAGGTTTCCTGCCTTCAACAAATCCATTTATGTGTAATTTTGTTGTGGAAGCTTCCCATCCTGCAAATTCTGTGTTGGGCCTGCAATGCCCTCACACACAGACAGTCACAGACTTCTACATGGCACTGTCAGCTGGCCCTGACTGACAAATACACTTACCAGCCTTTTTTTTCTATCCTCTTCTGCTTTGGTGGGCATATGTGGCTTACTGCAGAGTCCAGTTTGTGTTTTTATACCCATTGAATGAAAATGGTAGAGATAACCCTGTTAAATCCCAGATATTCTTGCCTTACAGGGACCTGGGGAGCCTCAGTTCCTAACAGATATGCTTATCCCTCAGTAATTGCAGGGACTACTACAACCTCAGCTCTTCTCCTTTAGGAAGAATTAGTTTCGCTACCAGCTGGACATACATCTAGTTTGTTCAGTTTTATCAGATCCCTAAATCTTGCTTCTCAGAGCGGAGCATTTGTAAATCTTGCCTTCTCCTTTTGTTTTCGTGTTTACCTCAGCAAAGAAATCCCCAGAAAGGAAGAGGCTCTTACCAGATGCACAGAGCACAGAGTTGTAGGTAGTTTCCACCTCAGTCCCTTCCGGCTACGGGAAAAAGGCAAGAAAAAAAAAGCAAAAAATGAGAAACAACAACAACAAAGAAAAGGAAGAAATATCAAGAAAGAAACTAAAAGGGACTCTAAGAAAATTAAATACTCATAAATTCTCCCATTCTCTTCATTATAATGAAAAGTCTTTAGAAATTCCTAACAAAGTTTTTCTTCCGTTTTCTAAACTGAGGCAAATTGAAGATTATAACATACGAGCTAATTACAAACATGGAATTTAATACATGTTTGTTCCTTCCTTATTACTCAGAAAGAGTTTGCAGCTTCACAGCTTATAATGCAAATGATGATGCAAGATGACGCTACCAACAGTGCTAATATTTTGTCAGAGTTTATTTCAGTGAGATCCCCACATCCAGTTTTTAACCTCCAAATAGGGGAGGTCACATTGCTTCATTACTGGTTCCCAACTTTTGCCAGCTGAAAATTTTTCCCAGCATGCAAAAGTTGGTATTACCGTTACTTTCTCACACAGTTAAAATACACTGTCACTCATTCTTCAGTATGAAAAGAAGCAGAAAGATTAAAAGTGTGGGAAAACAAAGAAAAAAGAAAAAGCATTTTTGATAAACTATGACACAGCTAAATGCTTCTATTTGAAAAGGCACCTTGTTTGTTTCAGTGTGTCATTCTGAAATGCAACTAAATGAGAAATCCATTGTTTTGTTATATTTTGAACTTTTCAACAGGAAACAAAAACATACAAACTGTAACTATTTGAAAGGTTTTCCTTTCCAGCTGAGAAATTCCTGGGTGAAAAAACATCCTGTTTCCCAACCAGCCCTCAGCAAGGCTTGATTTCCCAAGGGGCAGGAGGAGCCCCAGGGCCTCTGGCACCCTCCCGGCTCTCTCCCCGGGATGCACTGCCTGCTGCAGGCGATGTTGACATCCATGTGCCTGGGACAATGCAGCTCCTCCCCAAGCAACTTACACTGTGTCCACCCCTGCTAATTAATTGTTCAGCCTTGGATGCTAATCTCTGATTCTATCCTGTCAGGGCTTGCTGTAGACAAATTACCTCATTACAAAAACAGGATAAGACCAGTAATCTCTCAGACACCCTGACAGATGTAATTTTAATGTGCATTCAGTTAGTTTCACTCCTTCGCCATCTGGGAGAAATGACTTTACAGTTATGATCTTCCAGTGTCTTCAAAGAACAAAATAAACACTCTTTTTCCCGAATGAATGTATGAAATTGGAAAGTTTTCCTGAAATGTTAAACAGTTCTTCATGCCCTGGCACATGAAATGCCCTGTGTAATCAAATTAATTTGTAAATAAGCAAAAGAATAATTAAAAAAAGCCTAACAGGATTGTTGTTCCATCGTTACAGTCAGGTTAGCAAAACATTTTCTGAAGTTATATATTGCATGAATTCTAGTTCTACCCTACTGAAAATTGGAATGTTTGCAATGAAAGGAGGAGTTGCGATGTTATATATTACTCCTGACTTAATTTTGTAAAATACAATTATTCTTTCCTGTCATGCATGGGATTGACAATATTATGATACGTGATATAGATTTCACTATGCAAAAAGCTCTGTGTTTGCTATTAATATCACAGGGAGTCTTATACTGTAGATTAATTTTATGACTGCCTATTTATCATGGGAAAAGCTGTGGTTTTATAATTGCGAAACACTGCTTAAGAAAAAAATGTAAAAAAGAATGCAAAACTAAAAAAAATTAGTTCATGCTCTTTTGAACATTTTTAAAAGTATAATATAAACAATTCAAAACAGTGATGGTAGTTATGTTTGAAAATATTTGTAGACTGTGGTGACTGTTTCATATTGCAAAGTACTGCCCATGTACTGGAGGAGGTGCATAAGGTTTCTGGCAAGTCTTTCATTTACAGTCTATCCCTGTGATTCATTACAGATAAAACCAAGGAGTTTTCACTTATCTCCCTGATGATGTGTGTGGGACAAACTGTCATTATTGCCTGCCTTATTATTTCTGTCCCGCTATGTGATGTAATACACTGCTTTTACTTTTTTACTGCTTTTACTGCTTTTTTTTTTTTACTTTTTTATGTGATGGCAACATTATGAGTTATGAGGTCTATTGGTTGGTGTGAGATTTATCAATGCTTCTTTCATAGAAGCATGCAGAATAAGAGTCACACAAGCCATTATTTCTGCTATCATAGCTAAAACAGAAAAACTTTTGTCATACAGCAACTGTTGCTGTGGAGCGTGACGTTATTATTACTTTTCTGCGCCACCAATCCCAGCAGCCCACAAACCTCCACCAGCAGCTGTCTGATGACCGTGTCCTTCCGCCCTTCCTCAGGAGTCTCCACGATGGCGTTCCCACAGGGCTGCTGGTTCTGCAGGGCCTCAGTGCTCACCGAGAACTCCACCTGCCCTGGAGGAAACAGGGGTCAGCCAGCCCTGTTGGGCAGTACCAGGAAAATGTGTGTTTGTGTTTGTGCTGGGCACTCTCTGGTGTGCTACAGATAAACTTTTCCAAGAAGAGACCTAAACTGGAGGCAGCGTTTTATCTTGATCCAGCTGCAGCCTTCCAGGCCACCTCCTTTGCCACCAGAGCCGGTGTTACTCCCTCAGCAAGAAGAGCAATGGAGGGTCAGGTCTTGTAAATCAAATGGTATTGTTCTGGGAGGCTTCAGAGAAAGCAAGTTTTGGTTAAAATATTTCAGACCTGGCCACATTAAGCTAAGACTTTCTCAGCTCCACAACAGGAATG